AAAAGCACAAGCCCCTCCCTCTCCCACATAACATACACATATTCTGGTGTATGCCATGCACATGCGCTGCAGTACATTGTTAGAACGCATCGCAGTGCATGATTTGTTTTAGTTCTTTTTTTTCTTTTAAAAAAACATTAAATTAACTGTGGCAGCGCATGGCAAAGCTTTGTGACGCATTGCCGTGCGTTGTGATACCTTGTGTTGCAATTAAATATACGCCTGTATCATTTTATCACAACACAAACACCAACACAGAGTAAAAACTATTTTTAACATAAGTCGATTTTTTACAATTTTGCGTACCTTCATTTTTTTACCTTTTCACAAAAAGGAGCAATTTCAAATGTGCAAATATTTTTTATTTATTAACTCAATACAGTTTTATCTTTTAGATTGTCAGAAAATATTTATTTTTGTGCACGGATACTGATTTGTGTGTTTTATCAATTGAATTGTGTATTTTTATCGGTTTAATATTAATTTGAGAAACATTTGCGCAATTATCGCAGGGCCTACAAATTTAGTATCACCATCTTTTTATTCCGGGCCTGCGCTTTCAGAAAATATATGGTTTGGGGCAGTTAAAAATCAAATCAATGGGAAAAATTGCGAAAATGGCTTGGCCAGCTGAATTGAAAAATGTTCCGGAGGGCTTGGCAGGGAAAGGGTTAATAGCCATTTAGTTTATGTACTTCGTGACTTTTCTTTTTCTATACAGAAGACCTTTGCTGGTTTTAGCCAACTTATATTATTATCAGAGCTCTAGCAGATAAACAGATAATTCAAAAAGGGTCAAAATAGAAAAGTTATTTTAAATTCTATGTTAGAGACAGGAAATAGTCTATGTTACCTGTATGTATATCAGTTTAATTTTATAATGTAACTGTAGTGTACCATTCAACTTACCTTCTGTATAATTTCTGCTGACATTCCTACGAGTTCCCCAAGATCCATTGCTTCAACAGAACCCTGTCAAGAAGTATGAAATAATTTATTAATAAGAAGTAGAAAAAAAAAAATCATACAATCATACAAAAAAAAAATGCAATACAAATACAAGCTGAATGTACTTACAGCTGCCCCTGCTTGTGGTGCAGGATTGGCCTGAAGAACAGAAATACCAGCCTGAGGCTTGAGAGTAGCAAGAGCTGTCAAACAGAACGAACACCATCGTTAACGTAGTAAACTAATGTAACCTGAATTTGTTCACTTACTGTACATTATAACAAAATACATATCAGTAGGAATGCACCGATACCAATACTAGTATCGCTGCCGATACCGGTATTTGGGCGAGTACTTGCTTCAAAGACAATCAAGAAGCCGGGCAACAATTCATGATCCACCGCCCGACTTCCTAATAATCTGGGCACATGGCACCAGTGCTCAGTGGCGCGAGTGCGGAAAAAAAAATATCTGTACTCGATACTGAAAAACCAGTATCGGTGCATTCCTACATATGAGTGTTGAAAAAAATCTCAGGATTGGAACTTTCAACTAAAAAGTCAAGGGGGGTATAAATCTGGCAGTAAAGTAGAAAACATTGATTCATGATACAGAACAACACTGCACATAGCTTTACATGCTGGCTATAACACTCAGGGTGCCCATATCCTGGTATGCAATAATAAGCAGGCTGTTGACACTTCCATTTGTATGTGGTCATCTGCCCTCTAACACACACTTTTGTAGGCCAGTGTGACGACTACTAATGGGTAAATATCAACATGCGTGAGAAGGTTATACCACTTTTGGATTTGTGCCACCTGGGGCGCTGAAGAAGGCAAAAAAAAGTATGCCTTTGTAGATCTGGAGCCAGTTAAGTTATGGTACTTATAGGTGTACTTTAAAAGCTAAATACAAAACACATAAAAAGCTACAAATTTTGATAATTCATATTGTAATAATTGAATCACTTGTGTGGTTTTAAAAAGAACTGCTAGGTTTTGTTTAAGAAGTAAAAAGCATAATTGCATTAGGTACACTATATGCTGCCAAATTATAAATACTAGCAAAAGTGTAAAGAGCAATGAGCGTGGTAGTGGGCATCAGTGCAGTCGCAGAGTGCAGTGTAGTGTCAGAAAGCGGGGTAGTGGGCGTCAGTGAGGTGGCAGAAAGTGGGGTAGTGGGCATCAGTGCAGTCGCAGAGCAGGCTAGTGGGCATCAGTGCACTGGCAGAGAGCGAGCTAGTGGGCATTAGTGCAGTGGCAGAGAGCGGGCTAGAGGGCATCAGTGTGGTGAAAGATGTTACACTATCACCTGCTTGCCAGATCTTCAGTCTTCCACACTGGATCTGTCATAAGTCTCACCCATTCCACGTTTTTTAGCGATCCGTTTGTTATATTGTCTATATCCTGTCTAAGCAACGCTACTGGATATTGTCTATGTGGCTTGGCTGAAAAGTAAATGGAAAGTGGCAGCAGGCAGGAAAAGTGGCCGGACCCTGGCTGATTGGCTGAGCGAGGAAGCCAGCCAGGATAACGTATAGAGTGGACTATGTGGGGCTCTATTTGAATGACGTGTGTTGACCAACAAAAGCCTAAGTTGATCTATAAAAGGCTAACAGTACGTGAGAACTTAATTCTGGGTATAACGCAGGAAGCATGTCCATGTCTTCAGTTACCATGGGAGGCAGTTTGTGACATGTGGGACGAAATCATTTGAGGTTGGGAAGAGGAAAGTCAGTGCTACCTGTTCACATTGGAAGCCGTGGCTACGAAAAACAATCTTTTTGAAATTAAAAAAAATGGATTTGTTTCTCTCTGTAGGTAAACTTTTCATTACAAATGCTAAACCACTATTTAACTCTGCCTATCTAATCTGTTAAACATGCAATCTGTATTGATACACAGCTTCCATGAAAGAGGGAAAATAAGACTCTATTTTACTTCCAGTGTTTCTATGTTACAACTACAGCAGAAGGATCATCCAATTTTAGTGTCTTTATTATCGGTTGAATGAAGTTCACCATAGTGTCCAACTGGTGCATTTAGGAAGCATCACTCAAGGAATAGGGCATTGACTACAGAATCATGCAACCAAGACTGCAGACAAATCTGAAGATACCACATGTTCAGTATTGGAGTCAAAATGAGAAATAGGGGGAAGGAGCACTTCCTGTGACCAACACCAGATTGGTCTAACAACTTGGAAATCTAAGACCTAGACCTCTACATGATCTGAGATAGCAACTGCAGCACATGAACACCAGCCCAAGGCACATCCTAAAAGTTCCTAAGAGGGTTCCAAGATGGACATCAAGGTGTGCAGCTCACAGAAAATTGGCTCAGGTGCTGTTGAATCTATGCTCACAAACTGCACAGGGAAAAACAAGCAGGGTTATTCACAAAAAGGTGAAGAGTTTGGAGAAGTGAAAAATCTAAGCAAAATAGCCGATTTGGAACAATTCTCCACATCAGCTTTGTTGTCTGAGATAGTTTACTTCTCCTGCCTTCTCCAAACTCTTCACCCTTTTGTAAAATAACTCTGAAGATGTGCTGTGAGGATTCACCAGCAAATGCATAGCACCAATCCTTTTTCGTGTCAGATAGGATTATCAGGGAAATGGAAAAGTCAGGCAGTGGGAGGTAAGGCCCTTTTAAAGAAATAATGCCACCTTTGAGTGCCAAGAGAGCACTACATCCGATCCTAGGTCAATCACATGGACATAGGCCTTAAAGCAGGAAGGAAACACTATGCCATCAGCTTGTTAACTAATTGAAGCACCAGGACATCACAGCTAATCAGCTTGCTTGCAAAGATGAGCAAATTATATAAAGTTTGAACAGTAAACAATTTAGCACTTTCCTCTTTGCTGTTAAATTGTCACATCTATAAGTCAAGTAAACTTAGATTATATGTCCACTGATCAAGACAATTCTGGTTCAGGTTACTCCTAAAAAAAAAAAAGAGCAAAGATCGCTCCGAAACATGTCAAGTTTGTTTTAATTTTTATTTAAGTTCAGAGTTCTGAATCTGTGCCATGTCTGGTGAATCAATTTCATATTCCTCCAGCCCTGCGAGCATTTGCACAAACCGTTATTGGCTTCTTACTATATACACAGCCACTTGCTCAGGTCAGCTTTCCTTAGGAGTTTAGTTACTCTGCATTCAGTCACATTTAGAGGCCGTGTATCTTTTTCAACAAGCTAACCACCCATAGAATATTATATGGACAATTGAATTGTACAGCGGTAGATTGCTTCACATTCTTCAGCTCCAGATAATTTATCTTTCAAGCCCTTCTGAGCAGTATCATTTGATCTCTGTATTGTGTTTTAATTTTTTCCGAGATGCCCCTGCCTTTTTTTTATTTTTGTGTATACCACACAAGACAGTGGTCTGGGTTCTTCTAGAACAATGGACACAGCTCTGTAAATATTGACAATTGGGATGTCCCAAAGCAGTGCTTATAAAGGAATGGCCATCAGCAAAAAAAATAAACTGTAGAGGACGGCAAGGCTGGATCTTTTAAGACTGATATATTTCACCACGGTTTGGGTTGTGGCGCCTTTAGGGGCCACCAAAGGGTTAATCTTCCTGCAACAGGAAGCAGTTTAAAAAAGGTCAGCAACTCCAGAGAGGAGTGCTGGAGTTTGTGTGGCGAAAGAGGTCAGCTGAGGCTAATGTGAGACCTGCAGTGGTGCTAAGATTTAGAACTCATAATCCTGGGAAGAAATGTTGCCAGGTTTGGGACTCTGTATGACAAGACTGAGACACACTGTTTCGCCATCTGTGCCGAAGATACAGGATTCACTTAATGAATTTTGCTGAAGTTAAGCTTACATTTGTGTTTTCCATTTTTAACTGCCCGGAAGAGAAAAATAAACTTTTATTTGATGGGGAAAAACCCTTGTGCGAGCGCTCTGTGAACTCTCCCACCTTTACAAAACGTAAAGCTCTTACTCAAGGCAAAAACATTCAAATATCCGCAACCCCAACATATATAGAAATAAATGGAGGAAGGAGGAGAGAGAAAAGAGAAGAAAGAAGAAGGTAAAGATACCCAGGTAGCCATCTTGCAAAGCAACGGCTGATGGCAAAAAGCCCATAAGGCAGTGCCCTTGTGGAATTAACTGGAACCGGACACTGAGGTTCCCGTGTCTGGAAAAATAGGCCTTAAGTAGTGTTTTGTAAACAGTCTGAACTGAAATGCAATTTTCTGGCGATGAACAGGGTTAGTACAAAAGGGACGGAAGCACAGTATCCTCATTCAGAGGAAATTACCAAAGTCCTTCCTTCATACCGAAGGTAAACAATAGGGATGCACTAATACCGGTTTCTCTGTATTGAGTACCGATATTTATCTTTCATTATTTGCCGATATGCGTACTTCCGGGAGCATAGAGTCGGCTTCCAAACCAATCAGGAAGCAGGCTCCACGCTGGTTGGCCAGGAAGCCAGCTTCCCAGGCAATAAGCATGGAGCCGGCTAAACAGCATGGAGCCGGCTTTCCAAACAATCAGGAAGCCGGACAGCAAGTCATTACCTGTCGCCGGCTTCCTGATTGGCCCGGGAAACCAGCTTCATGCTCTCTCGTGGCACTGCCGGTCAGAGGAAATCTCCCTCTGACCGGAAGCTCCAGTATCGGGGGTAAGTATCAGAACATTTGGGTGAGTACTTGCCTAAATACTCGTTATCGGGAGCAATACCGATACTAGTATCGGTAATGGTGCATCCCTAGTAAAGAACAACCTTATTCTGATTAAAAAACGAAAGGTGGCTTGCAGAACAAAATCACAATTCCGAGACTCTCCTGGCTGAAGCAACAGTCACCAATAGGTAGCCTGTAAGATGTTCTACCCAACGTTCTTACAAGTAGGCCCTTAAAAACCAAAAGAATCAGATGAGGTTACACAGAGTTGAAGTAGACCTGAACACATGGGTAATGTGCATCAGTCTCTAACTGAAAATGCAGATGAGTGGTGCCAGAGTCCTTGGAAACAAGACAGCCATGGACAAAATTTGCCCCTTTATGGTACTTAGGGCTAAACAATGGTCTACATCCCATTGAAGGAAGACTAAAATCCTGGATACAGTGAAGGAAGGTGGGTGGGTTTCCAAAAGACGAGGAAAAAAAAAAGACGACTACCAAGTTCGACAGTAAAACCGATAGAGGTGGTTTTACACGCATGGGGCATGGTCGGGATGACAGCTTCTGACAGACACCTATCCTTTAGTATCTGACTCTCAATAGGCTGTTAACGCCAGCAATTGAAAAGCAGGCTCAAGGATGGGTCCTTGTGAATGAAGCTCTGGATCATCTGGCAGGCACCAAGAGGCAGATGAACTAGGTCAGAGTACCGATGAGGTCAGTGTGGAGTCACAAGAATGACAAATATCTTCAAAGTTGAAGCTTTAGCGATGTAGACATTAGGGCTGCAACAACTAATCGACATAATCGATTGAAAAAGTTGTCAACTTTTTCAATAATCGATTAATCGGCTTCCGATCAGTTGGCCACACACGCTGCGTGCCGCACCTCCTCCCCAACTCAAGCTCACCGCTGCCAGACCCGCCAGCCCGCATCCACGTTCTACACGCCGCATCTCCTTCCCGCCTCACACTCCACGATCGGCACAGGGACGCAGGGAGATGTAGTAAGGAGGAGCAGGTGTGGGGTGATGACAGCCGCCGATAGACAGGCCCAATCTCAGAAGCAAGTTGCTGGAAGACTGCTCAGGTAAGCCTGCACACTCCCACACATGGTGCTCTATCATGTATTGCTGGGATTTGTATTCCTCTATAGCTGATGGTACGTTGTGCTGTATATTACGTAGAGCATTGTACCATCAGCTATAGAGGAATACAAATCCCAGCAATACATTGTACACTGCATGTATAATGTATTGCTGAGATTTGTTGTACTCCTTTATAGTTGGTGATATTCTGCACTGCGCTGTATATAGGAGTACAAATCCCAGCAATAATACATTATACAGCGCCATGCGGAATTCCACCAGCTATAGAGGAGCACAACAAATCCCAGCAATAATACATTATACAGTGGTGCAATGCCGAATACCACTAGCTATAGAGACTACAAAACCCAGCAATAGTACATTATACATCGCAATGCAGAATACCGCCAGCTATAATGTTCTATTGCTGGGATTTATTGTGCTCCTCTATAGCTGGTGATATTCTGCATTGCGCTGTATATTGTACTATTGCTGGGATTTGTAGTCCTCTATAGCCAGTGCCATTCTGCATTGATTGCTGTATAATTTTACACTTTCCATTTCACTATATTGCACACCACACTTTTTTTTTCTTTTTTTTTTTTTATTCCACCGCTCCAAGCTTACTCCAGTGATGGAGTGCAATCTCAATACAAACTAGTAGTCCCATCAGTGGAGCCATTTTTTTAATTGTTTATCCGATTAACCGATTAATCGAACTTAATAATCGGCTAACTAATCGATTTTGAAAATAATCGTTAGCTGCAGCTCTAGTAGACATAAATAACTGTTGTGCCCCCATAGGAATCCTTAGTCCTGGTTTCAAACCTTCCGGTTTAGACAAGACCCTATCAAGTCCACAAGCAGCATCCTCTCAACAGACACAAGGTCAGTGGAAAAACTTGTGCTGGATGAATCGCTCTTTAATCTAGGCTCCGATTACTCTGGTAGCTGGCCTGCCAGTTCTCCACCTTTTGAGGCTAAACCATAGAAAGAGCCAAAACATGGATTTTCCAGTAAATACAGAACAATTCCAGTATCACAATCCACATTGATGCATGTCACCGTTGTGGCATTGTCTGCACCCCTACAGGGTGCTTTTTTCAGGAGACTTATCCAACGCAGGAGAGACAATTAGACAATTAGCAAGAGGACTCAAGAGGACTCAACATAACTCCCCACAGCTGGATCTTCCAGTGAAGTGGGGAAAAGGATCTTTGTGCACTGGTGCGCAGTCATGTTGGAACAGGAAGGGGCCATCCCCAAACTGTTCCCACAAAGTTGGGAGCATGACATTGTACAAAATGTCTTGGCATGTTGATGCCTTAAGAGTTCCCTTTACTGGAAGAGAAGAGGAACCTAATGGAATGTCGAAGTCACTCATTACAATAAAGTTGATTTGAAGACTAGCTTAGAAGCAGAGAGTGGCCTCACATTCTTCACAAGGAGTGCCTTAATCTTAATGCTTCCTTTATCATTTTTTGGGTTAATCCACTACAGCACTTTTAGCATTTTTCATCTTGCTCCCTGCACATACTCAGCACATTAGAGCTCCCCAAAAACCCAAACTTGAGCATGAAAATAATATAAAAAAATTGAAGACAGGTGCATCCAGGGATTGATTTTAACTTCGAAATGCACCAAAACGCATGTAAACATGATTTGAGGTCTGTCAGCAGAAAGCATTGATAACTTAAAAAAAACATTTAGATGAGTTTCTAGGTGCACAGAATATATGGGGATATGGGAGACGTTAGCGACATCTATAGACACCAGATATACAGGTTGAAATCAAAAAGGACCTACACTGAGTGGCCTGAGTGGCCAGAATTGTGGCCGTCAGCGACTAGTCAATGTTAGGGCAGAACGGAGAGTGGCAAGACTGGTACAAGACAACAGAAGGGCAACAGTGCAGTGTCAGATTCCTCGCATCACCTTTCAACATCTCGTGGAGTCACGAGGCGGCCCAACGAAGTACTGATCATAATAATCTGGCCACTCAGTGTGTGTAATATTATATATATACACACATACACTGTTTCCCCAAAAATAAGACCTACCCCGAAAATAAGACCTAGTTGTGCCCATTCTCAGGGCCAGTGGTGGCATATGGGGGAATTTGAAGAACCGCGGGAGAGAATCAGCGGTGCCAACGAAGCCAGCGCTAGAGGAAGAAAGGCGCAAATGGAGGGACCAGAGCCGCATAAGCCGATACCTCCTCTACAGCACCGGCTCCTGTCACAGGCGGAGTGATACCAAATGCACTAGCATCTGTAAGGAATCGATAGTGAAAGCGCGCTTCGCCCATTCTGGTTACCAAATTGCTCTTGGAAAGGTACGGCAACCCTGATTGCCCTGATCACCCTATTCTTAACTTTGCCATTTTTAATTATTAACTTTGGATTGTTGGACATTAAAAAAAAAAAAATTAGACCTACCCCGAAAATAAGACCTAGTGTGTTTTTTTGAGCTCAAAAAAATATAAGACTGTCTTATTTTCGGGGAAACACGGTATATAAATACTTACACACACACACGATAGAAACAATAATAGTCATAATTATTATTTATTTACCTTCACGGGCAGCGGTTACCTCTTTGGTAAGACGTGCTATGACACGACAAGCAGCATCATGCTGGTATAGGGCATGAGAAAGTTCTTGACGAGTGGTCTGGAGCTGTTGTCTCAAAGTGAAGCTGTGGAGCATTACTGCATCCTAAAACACAGTTATAAAATAACAGAATTTCAAGAAAAAGACATTAGACAGGTTACATAGGTTATAAATACAAAAATGCCAAGAGCGTGCGTTTTGTTGCCATTCATTTGAATGACACCCCAAACGCACATCCCGCCCACAATGCGATTACTGCACCACAAGGCACAGCACTACAATACAAATTAATAGCAAAGTAACACACCTCCCTCACAGTAATTGCGGGACGGGGTGAACAGGCCCTTACAGATCTCCACAATGCTGCAGTACTTGTTGTAAGGTTATATGCATGTGCAGGACTTGAAAAATCCACTCGTCCGCGACGAGAGGACGGTGGAGCCCGACGAGCAGCTTTACATTCAAGCGATCGGGCGTCTCTAGAGACGCTCGATCGCTTGTATTAGCAGCTGTCACTGCCGTTGCCGGTCCCGAGACCCCTGTGCCCGATGCGGCCGGGACCGGCACGGCTCTGTGACAGGAGATCAAAGGGAGTTCAGTATACGGACTCCCTTTGATCTCCTCTCAGTCCCTGAATGCAGGAAGTGATGTATATTACATCACTTCCGGCATTGTGTCACTCTCCAGCTACAGAAGCTGATGAAGCAGATCTCTGCTTCATCAGCCTCTCTGGGGGCCCCTAGGTGACATTAGGGGTCTTGGAGACCCCTGATGTCTCCATTAAGAGGACCTGTCATGTAAACTGGCTATCACATAGGGGCTTCTTGGCCCCCCATGTAATAGCAATAAAGTTGTGTGTAAAAAAAAAAAAAAGGAATACAAAAATTAAAGAATCATAAAAAAAAAATAAAGCATAAAAAAATTAAAACATTTTTTTTAAAGTTCCCGCCCCCCACATACACACGCAGATATGCGCTGGATGCGCCTTCGTGCAAAAGCGACGATTGCGCCTATTGTGCCGCACATGTTACATATCGCCACAAACGGAGTGTGAGCAATAATTTTAGAGCCAATAATCAGATAACACTAAACTGATGAGCAGTAAAAGCGTTTTAATGGTCGCCTATGGGTGTTTTTTGCGATTTTGCGGGCGCACGCAATTTTAAGGCTTGACATGTTTGGTGACTATTTACCCGACGTGACCCCGACTTTTATGTTTTACTAAAAATATGGGTAAGAATAAATGTTTTATAACAATGTAGGGAAACTTTGGGGGGGGTTTTTTACATTTATGGTACTTTTTTCATTATATAGTTAAAAAAATAACCCCCTGCCCCCCCGTGATGATTATATACCTCCAAAAGAAAGCTCTATCTGTCCGCAAAAATTTTTTAACATAAATTGCAAGGCTATAGTCCGGTCATGTTGACTGGTGAAATAGAGGAATACAACAAATCGCAGCAATAGTACATTATGCAATAATGTACTATTGCTGGGATTTGTAGTCCTCTGTAGCTGCTGGCATTCTGCATAATGTATTATTGCTGGGATCTGATGTATTCCTCTATAGCTTGTGTTATTGGAGAGGACAGGTATGATGGTGGAATGGGGTGCAGGAATGGAGAGGCCGGGCTTGATGGTGGAATGGGGTGCAGAGGACGGGTATGATGATGGAATGGAGCGCAGGGAAGGAGAGGATGGAAATGGTGGAATCATGCGCGGCTCGTGTGTGGAGCCGCGAACAGGCAATTTAATAGATAGCCGACTAATCAACGATGGAAAACGCTGACAACGTTTTCCAGCGTCGATTTTAATGGACTAAATCGAATAGTTGTTGCAGCTCTACTTCCTTCCTTAGTGGGCTTGGAGAACCCAGCCTTGTGACGGAACTGCATGCCCTGCTTTAGTTTGGAACCAGAGGCCTGTGAAGAACGAAAGAAACTTTTCATATGGGAGGTACCAGTGAGTCTTAGACTTATGCGGCAAGAAAGTACTCTTCCCAACTATGACTTGATGTAAGAATTTGCCAAAAAGGCATCCTCCAGTGAAGGTCATGCCTTCTAAGCATTCATCAGGGGTGTGGAATTCCTATCGCCCAATGCCCGGAACATGCAGCTCTGGGCACATAGTTGTTTTTTTTCTACATTTAGCCCTGCTTCGGGCAGGTAGCAGGGCTGAATGTAGAGGGGGAGCCATTTTGTACAAGTGATCTCGAGTGGCTGTACAACTGTCCAAGATCACTTGTAAGCAGACGGTTCCCACTCCCCCTCCCGTCTTTCTCTCTCTCCGGCTGCTGCCTCTCCGCCTGTGCCCTCAGTCGCTGCCCGCTAGCTCCATCCCTGCTGTGGTCTTTGGGGCCGCCGCTCTTCTGGGGGACACGGGACCATGGCAAATTAGATCAGGATGGAGAGCAGGGAGCAGAGAACGTCAGTTCTCTGCTCCATGAGAGAACTGACACAGGAATGCTGCACTCACAGCCTTCCTGTCACAGGAGAAGGAGCACAAAAAAGTTGATTGAAAAACAAATTGTCAAAAGATAATAAAAATTTTAAACTATAAATACATAAAAATGTAAAAAATAAAAAAGGTGAAAATACAAAATAAAATTAAATAAAAAAATGTTCAAAGTAAAAACAAAGTAAATAAAAATGAAAAGCAACCCCGCTGCCCCCTCCACCTGCATGTGAATAAACACATGCATAGGGCATTGTGTGTGTGTGTGTGTGTGTGTGTGAACGGAGTGGGCAATCTGTGACCATGCGGCAATCGTGCATGAAACTGTGCAGATGGCCGGGCGGTCATGGAATCGCACACCACCGCCGATCGCGCCGACGGTGCCATTTTTCTCTAATAATGGGTTCCCGCTGCAATACCGCCCGTGCAATCACGCAAAATCGTGGTTGAAAACACCACACGGTGTGTGTCGCCAAAAAAAGGTACATGTACCTTTTTTCAGCAATTGCCACGCAGACGTAACCCTATTGAAATCATTGTGGCCGCGTGGCAACCGCTGTATGCATCCGCACATGATCGCCCAAGTCTGCACCAACCTAAAGGGTAAAATCACTTTCCCAAGTAATTTGGGAAAATGTAATTACCTGCACAAATCTGGAACCCCTCTCCCTCCCGCTATACTTACTTTTCGGAGAACGGTACGTGTGCACTATCTGTACCATGTATTCTCAATTTCGCTTGCAAATTGCAGGTACGCGTTCGTCAGCACGGTCACCTGACGGCGCTAAAAATGGTTTTGGTTAAAATTATTTTATTTGTATAAGACAAGTAGATTGTCATGAGGGACAAGTAGATTGGGCATCTGCTTTAGTCCTTGGACAAGTAGTTTAAAAAAACAAAAACAAATGCAAAGGAGCTTCGCTGACCAATTTTTGAGCCAAAGGATCCACTGCATGTTTACCAAAAAAAAAACCTCATCTAAGCCATCTGGTGGAAAGTATCCTTCAGGCCATCCATGCGATAGTACATGGCCACTGGAAAAAGCTCTAGATGTTTAAGCACTGTTGTCCCTGATCCTTTATATCAAAATTACATGGTCTGACATACCACCATAGAGGCGACCACAGGTTTCATAATCGCTTGTCCGTGTAAACTGACACATCCACTGCAGGAACTAGAAGGGTCTTGTTCAAGCAAAGGACAACAGGGTCCAAGGAGATCAGCCATTTCCCATATAAAATCTGCCATGATAGCGATGAACTGAATGTTAAGACAGAGGAGAGCGGCGTAGAGGGGGGAAGGACCCCAATTGCTAGTAGGGAAGGGAATAGAAAGCACAGCACAGGACTACCAGAAGTAATGTCCCCAGAAGGTGTAGAACCTACGCCAGAACCATGACCAGGTTTGGGTGGTCCCAGCCTATAATCCACCATACATAGCCATTAAAAACTCATGGCCAGAGGTGAGAGCATGCCCTGTGTCTACACACTGTAGGCATTCAGAATGTGGCCGGCTGCCTTGAGTGGACGTGTCTTCCACACATTATTTTACGAGGCAAATGGGGATCCGAGGAGATCACCCTTTGCAACATTTATGCTCCCAAAGCCAACCGAATTCCCCTTCCGAGTAGTATTCATTCCCTTGGCTCCTCATTACCTCATTGTTGGGGAAAATTTCAATCTTTCCCTTCACACACTACTGGAAAGACTTGATCTTGGCAAAAGAACTCTGACAAACTCCCCAACTACAATTCCCACCTAGCCCTTCAATTCCATGAGCTGCTCAAACTCCACTCCCTATTTGACATTGAAAGGACTTCACACCCCTCTGAGAGGCAATTCACATTTTACTCACCTGTACATAAAATGCATCCATTCACTTCCTTACAACACGCCGAGTTTAAGTAATGTACTGTTCTCTGGAATATGCTACATTACATGGTCATACTATGCACCAATTGCCATTGCTGTCCTGTTATTCCCTACTCCCCCTAAATACTGAAACTGGAGGATGAATGAGTGGCTCTTTAAAGATGAATTGGCCGAACGCAACCTATCACTACGTCCCTCTCTATCTGCTCTAGCGCCTTATTTGTTTGCGCTCACAACTGCGGCAACTTGATATGTCAGTGGGGAAATGTATGCTGTGTGTCAGCAGTTTTACAAAACAGGCAATAGGGCGCACACTCTTAGCTTACAAACTTAAGAATGGATATGGCTCTCTGATCCGTGGACTCCCTAAAAGATACGTCGGGTGTGGAACATTTTTATCCTCAAAAAATAGCATCTATATTACATGAATACTATACTCACCTATATAACCTTCGCGATCAGTCGTTTAATACCAATGACCCATCCCTTCCCACACGTATCCATGACTATCTCTCAAAGTGCCACGACTCTGATAATCCAGACTTTTCAATTACCTCATCTCGACTGAAGAACTCACCCAGGTGATCAAAAATCTTGCTAATGGCAAAGCCCCTGGCCTGCCTATCTGTATTACAAAACATTTAAGGACTCTCTCACGCCACACCTATGACATATTTATAACTGTTTCCTACAGCCCTCGCCAATACCATCCACCATGCCTAAGCCCAACAAGGATGACACTATCTGTTCCAACTATCGACCCAGAGCCTTACTGAATGC